AAAATATTAAAAAAATTTGTTTCACTCATTATCATCAATATATTTTATTGGTTATGATTAGATTTTAAAATAATATATATGTATTTATTCTGTCAAGGTACAATAAGTCTACTTAAACAAAAATCAGCGTGAAGACGAAATAATATACAATTTTTATTATTTATTTTAACATCAACTCAATCCTTTAGAATTAATTAATTCAATGAATAATATTTATTGAAATATATCAACTGATAACTATAGTAGATGTAATCATCACATAAAGTTTAACCATCGGTTAAACAAAATCCAAAGAGTGTTTTTTTGTTCAACGCCGTAGCTGATATCAGGTATTGAAAAGGTATTGTAATAAATTATAAAATTTAGTTCGAATATTTTTTCCGAAAAAATATAGTATAAACTATAAATAGATGACACGATACGATCAAATCTGAAGGCAACAAAAAAATGGATGTGATTGTATACATAGTCAAAATATGAATGAAAACACATTTATATACAATACAAAATTAGCTAAATATAATTAAATTAATTTTGCGTATAGATTATACAATTATAGAATAAGAATAAATATTAGAATATAGTATCGTAAATACAATTCTAAAATGCAATAAACAAGATCACATTATGTAATTATGTAAATATTTGTTATTAACTGAAATGTTGATTTTTATATTATTTACTCCTCAATAGACGTTTATAAATTACACGTAAAACATATAATATACATTATACAATATAAATATTATTATATCATCATGTGGCTTGGCGTGCACGGTTGCTGCAATTATTCGCAACGTGATGGAGAGTACTACTGCCACTAGTTCCCGGATGGGTGACCACCAGGGTTCTTTGTGGCAAAACCTTGCAACACATACACGAGTCTCCAACAACCGTACAAACCCTACCGTAACTCATTATTAGAGGTCGGATTTTTATGATTTTACATATTTGTTTCTAGTTTATGCAGTTAAATGGGAGTGAGAAATCTTTACGAATCATGAAACACAGAATTCACAGGAAAAAATTTATTTTGCATAAAAAAGCATATTTTAGAGGTTAGAGAATATTTAACACGTTAGAGAATATTTGGGAATATTTTTGTGATACCCGGCATATAATGAACATATTTCACGCATATCAGCATTTGATAAATACAATGTTCACTAAATGATTTATTTCCGGATTTTAATAAAAATTAATCTCCAGGTATTCCTTATCGATTGCGAAAGCACAACGGTTATTTCGTTAGCTGTCACGACTATACATCGAACAATATATAGTAATTAATTGTTATTGTAAAATTAATTTAATTAAATATTTTTAAAACCAAATTAATAAAAAATTAATTTAAACTGTTTTTTTTTTTTTATATCAAAAGAATATTTTGCATATTTAAGGACATAAAACATCATATATCTGGTATTTTAAAGGAATATTAAGAGAATATATTGCTTATTTTATGTGACATACAAACATCATATTTTAAGGATTTTAAAAGAATATAAATCCGACCTCTACTCATTATAATAGCTGATAACGCCCAATAGCCTATGTTTCCACTGGATAATTAATAAAAAGAAAGAAAATAATAACGATATCATCATTTATTAGGTATTTAAATATTTACACCGAACAACATATTTGTGTGATGGAATAATAGTCGAAAAACATTATAGCCGAATGCCGTTCCTTTGAAAAGGACAAACGAGAAGCTGGGGTATCAAATATCCTGTCGGAAGCCCTCCAACCAAACAACATAAGTCTCATGATGCATTTTTTAATCAAGACCAATCTCAGAAATATTGTATAAATCTGTTAATTGTTTATGTAAATACCATATCTTAAGAATCTTTACCTTTGATGCCAATGGTCATAGATACTGAGGCTTATTTATTTAATAAAAAAATTAGTCGTAAACACGATTGTTCAGTTGTATACTGAGTCATTTATATAATGTGAATATTTAAAAAACACAAAAGACAGCACATATTATTCATCATATACATATCTAATCTTAGCTTGGAATAATTTACTATCAACCAACTTAAATCGTAAGATTTTATGACCCGCTGTTATTGTAGCTTTTACACGATATCACAAAGGTTGAATAGTGAATTTGTATTATATTATATACTATTCCAGCAATGTGTCATTGTATGTTACAAGTAGGGTTGGAATTTATATGCGACAAAAAATTGTAAAATATGCATTTTATTTACTAAAATATGCAAAAATATGCAAAAACATTTTTTTTTCTACATAACATTTAATATTTTTTTCATAAAAATCAGAAACTAATTGAAACAGAAACTACTAATTATAATTATTATAATAAATAATTAAAAATATTTATATTGACTACAACTTGCCGCACTAATGAAAAACAAAAACAATGTATATGTAACAATATAGGTTGTTTCACCAATATAAGATTATAAATCAATTTATGAGAATTCGAGAAATAACCCAATATATACACCATTTAAATACCATTTAAAATGCATAAGGTTTTTAAAAATCGAATTATACATTTATATGCATTATGTTCAAAACTTCAAAATATGCAAGAAAAAAGTTGTTTTATTTAATTGAGAATAATCTAAATCGTGGACATATCTGCAACAACCAATTTAGACGAATTAAACATGGAAATGTACCTATACAGAAATCATAGTCCTAGTTACAAGTCCATATAGTCTATAACATAATTTTTCACCTTTTTTTAACCAATCATTTTATTGAATATGTGTATGATAATAATAATTAACAAACAATTAAAAAAGTCTAGATACACTTATATGGTTGAATGGAGTATAACAGGAGGTTATTTCTTTTAAATCTTGATTTGTGTTTTAGCTGTATGACTTAAAAATACAATTATTTATTAAGGTCGTTGGCGGTAATCCGTTATAGAACTTTAAAATATAAATGTTTACGGTAAAACAATAATATTTACATTAATGTAGGTATTATTATTCTCCATCTAATCATATTAGTATATTACAAAGTTATCTTAACTTATATTGTGTAGAGCTGGCATATTAATAATTATAATTGTATTGTAATTATTTGGTATCTTTAGAATTAAATAAATATTACAAGGTAATATAGGTAACATTAAACTCATATAGGTATTAATAATTAAGATCTAACTATTTAAATATTTAAATGACTTAATCGCTTAAGAGGACGCCAGCCGTCCTTTTTCTGTTTAATTTGTTTGTTAAAACTTAAAATCCGTTTTGTGTGGGAAAGAAGCATTCGGAAAATACTTTTAGTTAAGAAATAAAATTGTTACCATACAACTAAGAAAGCTTTGTCTGTTTTTTCGATATCACTTAACACTTATACCAAAAAAATTATCCAAGTTTGAAAATAACTTTTTGATTGAAGTGTTATTGAAAATAGAAAAACGATACGCAGAAATAAAGACGTTCTCTTATCTGTACGGTGGAAATTTGATTCCTAAATATTATAGAAGTAGCGGCCTTCTCCGTTCTTTCCCCCGCAAAACTGTTTTTACTATGAACTGGTAATTACGCAACACCAAAAATGTTACCAGTTTTAGACCCCTTGAAAATAATTACCTGGACAAGTATTTAAATATACTATTTATGATTTAAAATTATAATTTTTCTAGAAATCGCATTATAATTTTCTATACCGATATCTCTATTAATAACGATTATGTAGTGGATTATTGAACCTCATCACCACCAAGTGTATTGTTATATCTCTCACTTTATTACCGCGTATAAAAGTATATTATTGATCGAGAGTAAAAAATGTATACATCTCTGTATCAACTTCCAGATAATAAAGGGAGCTGCTTCTATCCAAATCTTTATACCCTAAATGTCATTAATCTGCAGGTACATATTATTATAGTAATAATATGAATTATGGATATGACATCGTGACGTGCACACAATGAAAATCGTTGTAACCAATATACTAACCACGTGTGTCATAATATGTGTAATTTGCCAGCTTCTATATTATAATATAATGGTAGTCCATACAACATAATGTATTTTATTTAATTTAAGTTTTAGGTGTCTGACCCGACATGCAGTATAATGTACATATCACGTAGACATATAGCCCGTAAGCTATATGTGCCCACACAGTGACGTTCGGGAGTTTTTAAATCGTTGGATTTTGTATCTATTGCTAATGAATATAATAATAATATTAATCGTACCTAATATGAGTAATATGTCGAAAAAACGAAAACGTTAATATTTTATGTACACCGAAAACAACTGTTGTTCACAAAAATTTGCCATGTGCGTGTCATGGTATATCATAAAATGTTTTAAACCGTTTACTTAAACAAACATAGAGTTCTGCAGTTAAAGTTACAATCATATCCATAGGTATATTAATACACATATAGACTGCGCGTTCCCTACTCTGCGTAGCCATATTTCTCTAAAAATGTCTTCATATTTGTCTTTCCTTCTTCCCTCGCTGTCAAAGGCTATAGAATATACATGGTCTTGAGACCTTGAGTTGTATGCTATCTTTTTCTGACAATGTTGGCTCCTGGACCTTACTTTCTCTCTCACTGCTATCAGGTCGTTTCTCTATCGTCTACCATAAAACACGATTTGTCACGATTTCATAGATTTACAAGTGATTTACGCTGTGTTTCGCGTATTTGTCCGCAGTGCCCTTGCCCATATAAACATTATTCAATAATTATTATTTATTGAAAATCTACCGACACTACCGAAATCGCTATGGTGGCGTCATTCCGCAGCTATTGCATAATAATACCACACAAGACACCGAATTTCAGCCGATAGATTTTGAGCAAATATTCCGAAGGCGTATAGCAATAACTAACAACAATAGTGTAAACTTTAATACACAACGATAAAATACATAAAAAAAACGTAAACTGATATTGCGATAACACGATACGCTGCATGAACATGTATATCGTAATAATATATGATTAAACGCGACCGCAGTATATGCTTGGCACGTACCTGCGACGGCTGCGGCTGCGGCTGCGGTGATTCCGGCGATCAGCGCCCGGTGATGGTCCGACGGCGAGGGTGGTGCGCGTGCCGCTTTCGCTGTCGCACCGGACGATCGCCGGTCGTCGTCGTCGTCGATGTCGTCGTCGTCGTCGTCGACGTCGTTGTCGTTGTCGTTGTCGTTGTTATTGTTATTGTTGTGGTTGTGGTTGCCGTGAGCGTGCAGCCCGGCGGAGGTTTGGCGCGGCTGCAGGAGCGTCATCGGCGCGGGCGATCCGGGAGGCGATCTCGAGTCGTCCGGGTCGATCACCGGCGACAGCGAAGACGCTCGCGAGTCCATCGGCAGCGGCCCCGGGCAGCAGGTAGTGCGTCGACGGTGCGTTGTGGCGCAGTGCGCGACGGCGACGACGGTCTGTGCTATACGGTCCGTGCTGAGCCAGGGAACGGCGCGGCCGCGGCGTGCAGCAGCATAGAGCGGGCGACGACAACGCGAATCTCTTCAACTGGTCCATACGACGGCGGCGGCGGCGGCGGCGGCGGTAACGCGTTATCACTCGATTACACGGCGATTGCGCGCACCATTTCCACCCCGGGCACCCTCATCCCCGTTATCGACACTCAATCGGAATATAATGTTTATGTGTATGTATGAGTGTGTGTGTGTGCGCGCGCGCGCCCCCTCCGCGGTATGTACCTATACATATATATTATATATCGACGCGTTTTATACAGAGACAGAGATTCCCTATTTAAATATATGTATATCGTATGTATACAAATGTTGGCATAGTATATATATATATATATATATATATGTTATATATAATGTGCGTGCGACGCGCCAAACGTCCGTCCCCTAACCGCTCGCGGTTGCCGGGGTGACGATCGCGCAGGGGGTGGCCGGGGTCTTTTCCCCCGTCGGGGGGCCGTACGGTTTAACGGACGGCCATTGGGCGTATGGGCGGCGCCCGCGCCGGCGGTTTATTTATTAAGTGCGATGCGGATCGGAGGGGCCCAATTCATTATCGACAAATGATCGCGGGCCCACCGCCGCCGCCGCCCCAGCCCGCGCCGTACATACCGGTAACGCCACCACCGACGCCGCGCCGGGCAGACCGTGTCGGGGCGAAACGAATTTGTCACTCTCGCTCTTTTTACACCGCACGCCGCGCCGCACGCACACGCACGTCACCGCACACGCACGTTTTTACACCGCCGCCGACCGTACACACACATAATATACATGCACGCGTACACGAGACTTACACGCACGTTTACAACGATATATTATTGCGCCTTACCGGCGGCCGTTATATGCGGACAAGACGTAAAGTCGCCGGCCTGACGATATGTATATATTATTTTATATCCGGTATGTGCGCGCGACAAGATCTCTTCCGTGCAACCGACCGCATCCGGACGGTCCCGCGAGGTTTACGCGCCAGCGCCGTGCAATATGTACGACGTGGCGGCGGCGGCGGCGGCGGCGGTGATTGATGTACGTCCGCCGAATAGGATTGTTCGATTTCGGTATTGCCATTTCGACGATTGCGACTGAAATAATAAATTTGCCCTACAAATAACCCCTCTCCCCTGGCGTCCGTGCCAGAACTACCCCTCCACGCGATAACACATTATATTATAATATATTATTGTTATTTTAGTATAATATTCTTATTCCGCAAACAATCATCGCGATGAGCGCAATACTCATGTTTTCCTGCTCCGTGAACCATGTCAATAATATAAGTACACCATATAATATTATATAGCATGGTGCAAATATGGTGCAAACATCCCGGTGCGTTTTTTTTCACACCGGTTTGAGCTAGCTTATTTATAGATAGTTCAGTGTTTTTTAGTCTTGGTAGGGAAAATTGACGTAGTTTCTAATGCTAGATGCTGATACTATTAGAAAATAAATCGTTTAACCTTCAGTGGCTCATCACTGCATACGAGATATAGCTGATTCACACATATAATATATTATTAGTATTTAGGACGATTATCTACATGAACTATACAAATCCTGTAGTGGCCAATATCTATAATGTAGACTATAGGCATATTATATTTTAAGTAAATAAATGCATTGTTCCATATTATAATTTATATGTATTTACTACACTACGAAACTACATTAGGTCACTATGTATGTGCTTGCATACAAATATAGCTTTGGGAGACTTCTCCTTTAAGTGAAAATTCAAGCTATATCTGTGATTGGATTTCTTGTTTGACATTTTTTTTTATCTCCGTCAACTGGGCTGTCGACTTATGGTGATTACTAATTTGCATAGAAACCTATAACCGTAGATAGATCTTTTGGAAATAAAATATATACCAGAAAATCCATAGGCATTTAAATTATTATAAATTATTATAATTTTATAAGGCTACATTAAGTATTTAAGTATATCACTTGACGTACCTATCAACGTACACGAATCACGACTCTTTTATGAATATTCATTTAGACATTAATTTTTGGTTTAATTTCAATAAATAGGATTTTTCTTCAATTTTCATCCTACAAAATTGTTGCTCGCTTTTTTTTGTCAAGAACTTCCGATAAGCCTGCTTAAAATATTGTATAGTCTGCGTAAAATAGGTACTTCAATTTACATAATACATTAAAATTAAATTATTTTTTTTAATATTAGTTGTTACTTATTAGTTATTATAATTTATAATAACACTTCGGTAACCTTTTTTCACAATAACTGTTAAAGAAAGATCAAAGAGTCATATTTTGTAGTACAATGAGTACAAACATAAAATATTAAAACAAGAATAAAAATTAAATAAATTAATAGGCATAAATACTGGTTATGTCGGGTAAACATATTAGTTATTAACTTTAATATATATAGTTTATTTTATAATATATTATACCCACAGTATTATACCTAGCAATGTATTAAATAGCGATAATTACTTAGTAAAAATATTAAAATCAAATATAAATTGAGTATGGTTATAAATGTAAATAATAGGTATGGTATGACAGAACTAAAGAGGAAAATAACTTAAATAACCCAATTATAAATTTTTGGATAAAAAATAGAAAAAAATACCTACCATATTTTACTGAAAATAGATAGGTAGTAGGTACTATGTACTACTGGTATTTTGAGTGTTTTACATTTTAAGAATTTAATGATAAAAATACTACACCATTGATTTATAAAAAACTACTGATATACTAATAAGTAATAGCCAATAACTATATTGTAAATTGTATAATACATTTTATTTTATACTAAACGAACTACGGAAGTATTAGGTTAATTGATAGGTATTTATACAAAATACATGCATTGTGTAATAGTGTTAACCAATATTGATTTCTGTATTGTCATAATTCAATCAGCAGGTTCATTAAATTATTTAAACTTCGAAATTATAATAATATTCTACAAAAGTGGAATTCGTTTGGATAACGATCGGAAGATAAACAAAACAGTTTGAACGCCGATTCATCCGAAACTGCGACCCAATTAACTGCGTAGCTGTTTACACGCTGTGCCGACTAAATGTACTTGCAAATACAGCTAAATTTGTATAATTAAATTTATATACATACCGCACATAGGCTAATTGCGTATTCGTAATTCCAAAAAGGCATGTACGTGCTACGAAAAATATCACGCACAAACGAATAGGTAACGGTCTATCAATAAATTTTGCCAATTGTTGGTCTTCGCTCTTTTCACGATAAAATTTTTGCAAAAAAAATATTTCAGTATAATTAGTCAAATACACGTCTACATTATTCGCTAATGCGCATCTGTAATTAATGTAAATGTCATTTAATGCCATTTATGTATAAATATCATCATGACTAATGCATTGTTTTATTTGATGTACAAAAATAATTATCTTATTGTTGTAAGTAATCGTTGCCACTGATACTGAAATATGTTTGTCTATAATTTGTTAGTATTTTGTTGCACAAAAAAGTACTTGGGAGTTGAGAGGAAGGTTGATATAGGTATACCAAATGCTATAATTTTTATACTATATTTTATTGTATAAAATGGGTGAGTTTGTAACCTTGCCACAACAGCGTACCTTTACCAGCTAACCAATTATATTTAGAGACGACGAATTCTAAATTTTCGTGTCACGGTGCTAATGTTTGTTGTCATTCCTACTTGTAAATATGTAAGTATTAATATTTAGTATTAAAAATGTATTTTATTCGTGTTACCTACCTCTAGTAGTAAATAGTTACCTACTTAATATTCAGCATTGATTTTATGACTAAAATTATGCATAATATGCGAGATTGTCAAGAAACGTCGTCGTATAAACGAACAAATTATTTATATCGAAATTTTAAATTTTTTATGTTTGTTGTGTCTGTTGAAGTTTCCGAATGACATTATAATAAAAAATTTTCAAGTATCCATAAGTCCTCGCCAATAAACGAAAAACTATTATTTCATTTCAGTTTCGGTTAAAATACTTACTGTATCCGTAGAAGGCGTATGTGAAATGGCGTGAACAAATGTCGCTCGTGAATCGTGATGCATTGATGAGGCTGCCCTCGCAGTCGTCGAAGGTGCAAAGATTTCGGAGATTTTATACTAAGTAGTAGGTACAGTTTTCAATCTGCAATATGCGCTGTATGGTCGCAAAAAATGGTTCATCGAGAAATACCTTGATAGTTTTAAGAATCCCAGTTCATAAAAACCCAAAAATACATTAGGCTATATAGGGCCATTTCGGTATTATCGTATGCACCGTTATTTTTAAGTATTATTATTTATACCTTTAACCCATATTTAATGAGTGGTAGCTGGTAGGTTTATATTTGGTCTATAATTAATTATCAGTTGGTACAATAATGTAACGATTGTCGTCTTCGACATCGTACGGTGCTCCCTGCATTGAGCCCGGCTAATATACTGAATATTAGCAATGGCAAATGTACATACCTATATGTGTGCAATATATGTTATGCTGACTCGATTTTTAGCACGCGTCGTGTTAATAGCCGACCGGGACTCAGGGTAGTGGATTTCGAGAGTCAAGAGTCGGTAGATTGAGTCAAGAGTCAATAGATGGTCGATAGTCGATGGTCGAGAGTGGAAGTCGAGGGCTGACAACGACCTGAAGAGGAGCCGCGGACGACCAATCAACCCACATTTGGATATCGGCACCCGCGACACACCGTGGTCCGATCGGTAACCCTCAGTTATAGTTTATAAATATGCCTAAAACTTAAACATAAATATATTACATTATTTACATTTATACATTAATATTTAATAACCAATACAATACATACATATATATATAATATATACTTTGCTTCGCATAAGGGAACTCTGATTCCTAACAATAATATCACACACCGAGGTCGAGTCCGCGAGGCCTCTTAAAAATAAACAGATTGACACAGGTCGCGAGTGAGACGAGCGATAGGTGGAGAGGTGACGTCACAATAATTAATTAAATTAAGTAGGTAGTTGGTACTGTTTTCAAATATGATGCGTATAAGTATATAACATACTCA